CCCCAAAACCCCAAAACCCCAAAACCCCAAAACCCCAGCTTAAATTCTCTAGCTTGAATAATATAATAAAGGCAAACATGCAAGACAAATTAACAATTGATCTAGTAATTAGTTGCTGTTAAATTCTAGAAACCTACACACGCAAGAAGGAGGTCGTTCCTGGGATCAGTATCCACTGCTCTCTGCACTTCTAAACACAAAGGGTACGACTACATCTAACTTTGTAGATATAAGTCAATTCTAGGCGTTTCAGTTACCCCGGTTAGACAAAGGAACAAAGCTTATAAGGATTCATTGACCAGAGGAACTGGGAAGTCGTTCGGAAGCTATGTGAAGAAAACTCTCAAAATCCCTAAAATCCCCCATATTGTAAAGTCCTTGTTTAAAATTATAGTCTGGGAAAAGAGCTCCCATTCGAAATAGTTCCCTCAAGGATGACATCTTAGTGATGATGAGGGGCAAGTTCACCATGAAGGAATCAAAACGTGTGAAGGCTTCACTTAAAATTCGAAAATTGCAACAATACAATAAAGATGAGATAAGTAAGGAAGTACTACGTACAAAGCTTCGGCTGATGTCCATTAACCCGATCTGCGCAACACACTTGAAGGATTACCAGGAGAAGAACCAGAGCTTGTTCGACCTGCGGTACGATTCCTGTAGTTTATGATTAGAAAATATGCAGTTAAAATTAAATTAGTGATTCTTGCCAAGGCATATGATGTTTATAACTCTCTCGTTCCTCAAAAATCAGGTTTCCTTCATAAGTCATGCATTTTTAAGAGAGGCCTGAAGTACCTGAATGAAGACCTGGAGACTCAGCTCAGGATGGTCAGAGGTCTCCTTAATCATCACCAGAGTAAGCAATTTCAGTGATCTCTAGGCTCGAATTATTATTCTAAGCATGTTTCGAAAATCTCAAGAGTAAATAGTCTGGCATAATATAATAGGCAAATTTTTGGAAACAGGGACTCTCCAAAAACTAGAAACACCACACCTTTCTATATCTTTAAGAAAGCACCTGCCACTCGGGATGTAAGTTTTCTGTCTTCCAAAATCAAGGCTATCAGGGTGGAGAATTTTGCAGATGAGATTGCTTCAAAATTCTTTTAGTACAAATTTTTATGTTAAAGGCAGCTGTGATACAAATCTTAAGATATCTAAACTCAAAAAGCGGTCACTACATTTTCGTCAAGCGCTTTATTTCTTGAAGCTATTTTTTTGAGAAATTTATAGTGAAATTGTTAGCAATTATAAAACTTTTGAGCACAAACTGTTTTATAATTATCCGATACTTAAAATAAAGATAGCTGAGAACACGAAGCCCTTCTTGCTAGATTTTGCTTCAGTACTAAAACAGCTAAATTTACACACAACTTTTCAAAACTTATTAGATTTTTTGGTGACTTGGAAGAATGCTTATTAACAAACTTATTAAAAAATTATTTCTAATTACTAAGGATAATGGCTCTCTTCTCACCGAAAATAGCGGCTATAGCTTAGTTTTAGTAGAAAGGGGGTTTTAGCTCAGTTTCAAGGATTTAGGACTCTTTGATAACCTGATGTTTATAGATATATAACAAAGTAGCCTCATCACAAGGCAGAAAACGATTCAAAGACTTTTTGCATCACTCAAAAATCCAGATTTGTAAAGCCAATTCAGGCAGAAAAACCAATGCTTTAAGGTAAGAAATTTCAGATTTCAAATGGCTGATTTAAGGCTTATGAGGTTCTTAAATTTATATATAAATAGGCTAAGAGAGATTCATAAACCATTTCAAACCAGAATAGAGTGACTAAACACCAGTTCTAAATGCAAGGCACTGCGCTTCAAGCGTAAAGTGCCTCTATGTGACCTTGTGCGGCCTTTCTAGCGCTCTATTAGTTGATTTCATGACTCTTTCAGAAGACGAAAATAATGAATTTTCACTTAATTCCATATAAAAATATCTAAAAGGGGTTTTGGGGTTTTGGGGTTTTGGGG